GGATTTGTACTGGGTGGATTCAGCGCATAATACCCGTGCAACGCCGCTTTTTGATATGCCCCCAATTTTGCAAAACTTCATCGGATCAAAAACTAATGTAATACAAAGTTGTTTAGAATGACGAGAGAAATTTTTTAGGACCCCTGCCCTCCTAGTCCCCCACCCCTTAAGGGGGTCGGGGGTCAAAAACCCCCAAGATGTGATTTTTTTGACCTGAAACCCAAAAATTTGGATTACCTTAGAATCGATATTTTTCTCATTCACATTTTTTCACAAATTTTGGACCAAAAAAGTGTAAAATCGACTTTGTAAGATTTGAGGGTATGAGACACCCTGTATAAAGTGTTACATTTTCTTATATGAATCATTGCGGAGAAAAAGTAGCTCTTATTTTTCTCCAAATAATACTGCAACATAAAGTTTTTTATGAATAACTTGATGAATAATATAGTGTGAAAAAAACTTCATGTTGCAGTATTATTTGGAGAAAAATAAGAGCTACTTTTTCTCCGCAACGATTCATATTTAAGTTGTTCATACAGACAAACAATAATTTATATCTTTTCAAAATACATATATTTACATATAAATAAATTGTTTTTTTACCCAACGAACAAATATGTAACGTTTTTAGGACATTTTAACGTTAAAAAATGTAACGCTTTAACCCATTTTTGTGGCAATTTTCGTGTCAAATGGAAGGTAGAATATAGGCATAATGTGAACCACTTTTTCGGCTTTTTCGTGTTGCGATACACAACAACATCTTCTGTGTGTTTCGATTGTTTCTCTTTTTGTTATTATATTCTAAGAAACTGTAGCGGCAATACAATGTAAACAAATGTAAATAACATAAACTCGTTGAGTTCATAATATCGTATTCATACGATTGATTTTAAGCAAATGAAATTTGAAAAACAAACCGGAAAAAAAAGAGGATGAAAATACAAATCTTACTCTCTTCTCTCTGTGTGTGTTTCGATTGTGCATGAATAAAAAAAAACATTGCGTAGGAATTTCAAGTGACTGTGAAATACATTTATAAATGTACCTTTTTTTAGATTTGTTTGATTTGATTTTAGTTTCAGAAACATTTTTTTATTTTTTTTCTTTTTTTTATTTCATAATTCAAATTCGAATTTCGAATTCGAAACATGTTTGAATGTGTACGACATTTGACAGTTGGTAGCTGTGTGTATTGGTGTGTATCATATCGAAGCCGATTTTTCTGATTACATTCAAAATGTGCTTCGTAAACATTGCATCGTATCAATTAATTTCTTTGAACTAAATAGGGATTTTTTCGCATCAAAATATTTTGAAGTTATTGTTAAGAATAAGGTAAGTAATTATGGTTAAGTTGCCATTGTGTTGAAAAAAAAAAAACAAAATTCAGTGATTAATAAATGGAATTCTTGTACATGAGTTTCATTTTTTGTTTATCGTCATTTTAGCAACGGTTTGGTGTGTTTGGAACGTAACTGTAGAAGTCACTCGATGTCAAATGGAAAGATTCACAGTCCGTTTTGTGACAGTCTTTGTTTTCATTTCAAAATAAAAAAAAACATTTTCATCGTTTTAATCAGGACACAGCGTTATATAGTATAAGAAGTTATTGATTTGAATTGTGATATGAGTGTGTTCTCATTTTTTGTTTGTAACAAATTGTGCTTTGCTTGTAATTCTTGAGAATTATGTGTGAGTGTTTATATTAGAGTATGAAACATTTTGTTTGTCGTCATTTTTGGCTAACATTTGTTCCAATGATTTTGTTTGTTCGATGTTAAACGGATAAATTCACTGTTGGTTTTGAGATTGTCTCTGTTGTTATTTCAAAATAAGAAAGCATTCATAAAATTGACGGTGAATATTCCAACAAAATTTTCATCTGCGGAATATTGGAAAACATTTCATCATTTGAATCAGAATACAGAGTGACATCGTTGAGGTAAGAAGTGATTAATTTGAATTGTGATATAAGTGATTGTCATTTAAATTGTGATCTCATTTTATTCGTAATCTATGCTTTTTTTGTTGCATTTTTTTTCTAAATTTGTGTCTATTTTTTATTTTCGAATAATTTGATCAGTTTTTTGAGAATGAACAGAAAAAGACATGGATGACGACGAGCTCGATGATAATCAACCAGAAGAAAGCAAATACGTTGTTATAAAATGTGGACTTCAAACAATCCTGCGACAACAACATGAACGGATTGAAAGAGTTGGAGAAGTTGTGACCAAAATGCTATTCGAGCGCAGTGTTCAAATGACAGAAGTGGCAGCATTGGCATCACTTTCTATTCTTTTTATTTTGAATGAAGCACTTGATAATGACGATCGTGCATTTTTTTTGAAACCACATCCAAGCCTGTTCATTGCCGATTGTTTCAGAGCGGTATTAAACCAACACGTTAACAATATCAGAAGTCAATATCGGATATTGCCCGAGTTTCGTTTCATGGTAGAAAGAAACAGTGAAGAACAGTTCCGATGGCCAGATGATGAAAAGTTGGGAAATGGTTTGAGATATTTTTATAAACAATATATCACAAACATTCAAACCAATACCAACACATGGTGTGAAAAACGACTTGAGAATTTTTTTCGAATGCGTTGTTGGTATCGCAATCGATTCCACAATGGCTCAAGATTTGATAACATCGACATCAGAAATGCCAAAGAGTTTTCATATCGATTTAAGAATTTAACAAATGGTAATAATGTGGATCCACAACGCGTTGAAAAATTCAATATTTTAATGAGAGATTTGACTGAAATTGGATGGTCGGGAACAGTGAGTATGAAATTTTTCGCAAAATATCGTTGGTTTGAATCACTGTGGTTGTTCGGTCAAATGCAACGGCAAATAGAAGTGTATCACAGTCATGCCGAACAATGGTATACCATTCATGAAATGTTTCGCAACAATCCGAACTTTCAAGAGCCAACAATCAATCGACCACCAAAAATAAGCAGTTTTGCTCTTATACCATTATGCGACTACCATTTGAAAAACGTGCGATTGGACATTACGGACTTGTATAATAAAATTGTAAACGAACTTGATTTGGTGCCTTCTTTTCTCAATACGCAGACCAACCGGATGAATAAGAGAAATTTAAAGTACTACACCCAAACTGATCGATCAGGTCTATGGAATATGTTGTTCGATGTCGGTAAAATAAATAAATTGGGCAAATCGAAACCATTCCATCATCAGATTTTGACCGATAGTGTTTCAATATCCATAATGTACAAGAAACCACAGCGACAACAACGACCACAGCGACAACAACGACCACAGCAAACAACCCAAGCGAATCGGGGGCCGGAAAAACTCATTGGCAAGAAATACATCATTGGAATCGATCCGAATGAAAAATCGTGGTTAACTGTAGTGCGTCGCAACATTCAAAAAACACCTGATGAGCCGGCTGTTGAGGTAAGTTATTTTGAAATGTAATTTGAAATGGTTTTGAATAGAAACTCATAGTTTTTTGTATCATTTTGCATTTTGAAGGAAAACATTATAATACCAAACCAGCGTTTTCATTGGGAAACTCAGCAGAAAAAACGAGACAAAGAAGCGAAAAAGTTGGCTGGATGGTTTGATATCGAAGAGAAGGAACATCTCAAAACATACCCATATCGTCCACCATCACCACGTAATTCAACATGGAAATCATACATTGAATATCGCATTAAAATGTTACGAAAAGGAATGGCAGCTTATGCGACGCGTGAATATGCACGACTGGATTTAGACCATCACATTCGCTCGACCAGAGTAAATGATCAAATCGCCGTGCGTGTGACAAACAACAAACCGTCGTTGGTTCAATTTGGTGCTTGGGCGATGAAACCCGATCGACCGTTTGGAATAAAAAAGCGTAAAAGATGTCCGGGATCGCGTAAGTTTCGTGTGAGCATTAAAAAACTTGGACATTCAGAAGTTGAAATGCAAGATGAATGGGGAACATCACAAACATGCGCGAATTGTCAGGAACGTTTTCCAAGGCACACAAAAGATGATCGATTTAAAGTGTGCTACGATTGTAGAGCGAAAAAGATTGATGGCCTGCCAGATTCAGTCGCTGGACTGCCAGATATCATTGTGTCAACGGTCAACAGACGTGTTTTGAGAAGAAAACGTGCAATTATTAAGCGACAAATTATCGATGGCAATCGTGAGGCTGTGAACGAAAAAATTCGGACTGGGCGTTTAATGTCAAAGGTTAAAGTTACCTACAAAAATTGGCCATTAAATGTTGATGATGATGATGTTGTTCCACAAACAGTTACTTGGCACCGAGATATTGTTGCAGCAAAATGCATTATGCTCAAAGGTATGAATCAATTGGAAACAGAATATTCATTATTTAATGTATTTGCTTTAAATTACATAGGACTTTGCCGGATCTTTGATGTACCATTGCCAGTTTCATTGTTAAGACCGCCGGACCAAAACAACAATGTCAACTAACAAACATCATCAATTAATCATACATTCAAAAAATTACATAAAATAAAATATTTTAACTATTATAGTTAGCTTAGCTAGACATGAACAGACTATATAAAGTCTTGTGGTCTAGTTGTACAATAGTACAACATTGTACGGAGGGGGAGTGCCCGTAGGTGAGTAAAGTTTTTAATTTAAAAAAAGTATTTTATACCCAGTTCAACTGATACTAATGGTTGTCTTTCCCTTTTTCCATGTTTTTACACCTGAATGTTCCACCATGCCAAACCTATGGAAATGACTGAAACTACACACGAATCTAACCCCGAAAACGACCGTCAATATGTGCTTCATAATGGATGCATTTGCCCTATCAATTGTTTGCTGGGTAGGACCTCAAGACATCAAATATATAAATATTTATAAGTCAAAAAAGTGTTTTTTACTAAATAACGTACGTGTACTTCACGAACCTGTTCGATTAGGTACACTACCTGTTCGATGATAAAATTGGCAATCATTTTACGAACCTTTCTAGGTTTTGAGCTCAATTGTATTTTTAGCAATATACCTCCAATTTTTCGCATTTTCTTTCTTTGCATAAATTTATATTTATAATAATTTGTTTGAACCCAAACACAGTACGAATCTTATTATTTACGTACATTATAAACTATGTAATGAAACTAATATGAGTATATCCAAAGACCAAACTGACCGAGTAGTTCATTTGTTTATGCATATAGTTGTTCTCGCGGATGTCCTAGCAACTACAACAAACAACAAAACAACAAACAACAACAGCAAACAACAACAACAAATATCTTTACTAGAAACGCTCTATTATTGAAGAAAAAAATATTTGAAATATACGCGATTATAATAAACAACAATGCAGCAAATGTACATTTGAAAAAACCGTAATAAATACGTTGCCTTATAATGACCAGCTGTCAAATTGTTTTCATATCATTTGTATTTTTTTATGTAATACAAGTTATTGACGGCTATTTTGACTTACCATCACTAGAAGGTTGATAGCCATCGTCAAAAACCTCTTCAACCGAAATAACTGCTGAAGTTGATTTTCCCATTGATGTTACAATGTTCTTCGACATTTTCGTTTTTGTTTTCGATGTTGAAAAAATATTTTAATAATCACCTTTGTTGAATTTTAATTGTAATGTAGAATTAAAAGTGTTGATAAATTCTGAAGTGCAAAATCGATAAACTATATGATTTGACTAACAACATTCTTTTTCACGGAAATGTTAAGTCTGTTCATGGGTTTTATAAATTGCACAAATTTCATAATAACTTGCTAATCATAGAATTGTCCATATGATGAAAACGGACTTTTACAAATAAAATATTACAACTTTTCACACCATTGATTTCTTTTTACGACTATGAAAATAAATTCAAAATATTGCGCAATGGCGTATTTATTCATTGTTGTAGAATAAAATAAATATTTACAATGAGACGATTTCAGCACTGATATTGATTTTTTTATGCAATATAATACTTTTTGCAGAGATTCTTTGTCTTGAATGAACACAGATTTCTGCCACCCAAATAAAAGTGAGCCATCGAAAATTTTTCTCGTATAAAAAAGTGAAGCAGCTGAATTTCAGGTTATTACGAATAAAAAGAGAGATTCGTTTTTTTCTCCTTCACTTATTTGTTGAAATTTGTACAAATCAATGAACTTTACACTAGTGACTGACTGAAAGAGTCTTCTGTTTTCTGTTAGTGCACTTTGTTGGCAAATAGGAGAAAATTGTCATTACATAGAACTGTCATCGTATTTCATCTCCCATGCGACTTATGCGCAATAGTGGGGATACGTGGGGGATGAATCATATATATTTTTATTCAAAACATTTTCATAATTCAAATCGATATCGAATAAAACAAACATATCACCCCGGCTACGGCTTTTTTGTTTATGTTAATTGTTCGTTTGAAACTTATTCCAATTCAAACATTCGAAAATAAATAAATATTTTGAAATTTCAATATGACTTCGAAAATTCATCGAACCACTTCGGCAAAACTACCAAATTCCACTCATTCACTAAAATTAATTTCAAAACGATCAAGTTTAGACAAAAACAGTAATTTGCGTCCAAAAACAGCATTTGCTCACGAACGAATTCAAGTAGCCAGGCAATTCAATAAAAACCAAGAGAAGCAAGTTCAAATAGAAAAAGAAGAGGCTGAAATATGTAAACTTGAAATGGAAAGCCAGAAAAGAAAACGAATTTTGCAAGAATTGGATATGATTCGAGATGAAAAATTTGGGAAAAACTACGATCCATTCGCGGTGGAAAAAGCCAAAAAAGAATCCAAACTATTGAATCGTGCATTTTTAGCCAAACAGGAACAGGTTGAAAAAACTCTTTTTAGAAATGACAAAAGAAAATAATTTTTTTGCTTTTACAGGAAGATGAAGTGAAACGAGCTAATAAAATCATACTTGCTGCAAAAGTGCATATACTACAAGATGCTCAAATAAACGAGAAAAAAGAGTTAGAAAAAATGTGGCGCGAAAAGGAGTTGAACTTGGAGAAAATTATGCTTGAAGAAGATGCAAAAAAGTTAGCAGAACAGAAGCGAAAAGAACAAGAATGGAAAGAACTAAGAGATAAGTATGCAAATGAATTGAAAGAAGGACTGAAAAGTCGTGAGTTAAAGAAATTGATTCAAGCTGAGCGTATTGAAAATGAAGCACATGCAATCGCGATATCACAAAAAATCTTAAAATTTGAAGAAGATTCAAAAAAAATAGCAGAACGCGAGCGAAAAAATCAAATACGCAAAGAATTTCAGGACAATATTAGAGCTTGCGAAGAATTCAAAAAGAAGGCAGAGGAGCAGAAACGTGAGGCTGAAATGAAAGCACAAGAGTATATGCGGCAAAAATCTGAACGTGAAAGAAAATTGGATAAAGAGAGGAAAATTCAGCGTGAGCGAAAGCAAATGGAAATTGATAGAATTTTATCACGGCAAAAAGAAGTGTTGGAGACTAAACACGAGATTGAAATGGCTAATCTTAGGCGTATTCAGGAGCAAAAAGAACGTGAATATCGTAAAAAAGCGTTGGAAACTGCATTCAAGCGAAAAAAAATTGAAAGTCAAGTACTAGGTTTGCTCGAACCTTCTAACAAATTTACCATTTGGAATTTTCAAATTATATTTACAATTTTAGAAGCACGCGCAGCACAAATTGAGGAAACAAAACGGATCAAAGCGAGACGAGAAGAAGTTTGTGTCATCGACATCCATTTAGAATATTTTTTAATTAAATTTATGGCTGGCCCTGGGGGATAACCACCAAACTAGTTTTTCAACTTTCTTCTAGTTATTTCTAGTTTTTCTAGTGCGTGCTAGATTTTCTAGTTCGTACTAGACTTTACGTTCAAGTCATTATACTTTATAACTTGACGTATACGTAACGATTTGACAGAAAACTTCACATGATGAGATGTTAATAGTGAGGTTACAGACTATATTGCTTATTCAAATATATATATATAATATATTTTACTTTTTTATTTGAATGCACAGACATTTTTCAGAAATATTAAGAAAAATGTCATAGTAAAATTTACTACTAATTAATATTTTTGTGAATTTTACTGAAAAAAAATCTTTAAATTCACAGAATTTTTTTTTGAAATAGTAAATTTTACAGATTTTTTTCGGTTATATTGCTGAAGTTTTTTGTTATTTTTATAAGAAAAATCGTGATTCCGTTTATTTTACAATAATAGATTTTACAATAGATTTTTCTAGTTTTCTAGTTTGGTGGATAACCCCTAGGGCTGGCCATAACCAAAAGAGCAAATAATTAGATTGTTTTCCTTTTTCCTAATCAAATTATAGATGCCCGTACTTGAAGACAGTTTAAAGATTCATTTTGATATGTGTCGATAGTTCCCACGTGGTGTATGTCGGTTGTAGTGTACAATGACCGACACCATGGCTGAGTCAGTCTAGTTGCAGTCACAAGATGCCATGGTGCTGGAGTCGATGGTTCGATTCTCTCTGTGTACATCTGTTTTTATTTTGAAATACATTTACGGGAGATATTTTATTCTTCAACGCTTGCTAACTACTCTTAATGTTATTTTAATAATTGCTAAGTAGTCAAGCCAGTAACACATAATAACTGATTATAGTTCTAACTATAAACTAAACTAAATAGTTATAATAAAATAAACTATGATATTAAGTCAAATTTTTGACTAAGCAGGACTCTGCATATCAATTCTGCAAATTCCTCCCATTTATGTGGATGTGGTTTTTATTGCATGCGTGAGGGCACTTAGTTTTCAATTCCTCTGGTACAAACAACAACAATCAAGCAGGAGGAACTATCGGCAATTTATCACTGTGCATGCAAGATTCTGGAAGACAGAGTAGAAGGAATAGTGACTAAGAATTGCTGTCGGTCTCTTGACCACGGAAAATTATCATTTAAAGAATCTAAGACTCAGAGACGACACCTAGGGTAAAAAATGAGGGCTATGATCCCACCAAAATATGGCTATTTTGGAATAAGCTCATGGTTATATAACTACTCTGGCCCATAGAATTTGATACTTACATTTATTCGAAAAAGTCATTCACCCCAATACATAATCTTAACAAGTTTTAAGAAATGTAAATCAGAAATAGGGGAAAAATAGCATGTGCAAGGTTTCACGTCATTACGATGTCACACAGGTGGCCCATTTTTGGTTTTTTTTTCAGATTTTTGTTTGAAAAGTGTAACAAAAATTGGTCGTACCGTAGAAATAACATCATATTCGGTTTTTTCGTGCCAAAACAACTCCTCACAGTATCTTTGACAGTGAAATAGACATTTTTTCGAACTTTAAAATTGCATCAAATTCGTTAATCGAGAAAATATCCAAGTCTCCTTGCGAGTTTTGGAAGACCGATCGACTTTTGGAAGAAAAAATATGCCAAACACGTTATTTTAATGTTGTTACATCTCGATACCATATAAAAAAAATTATTTTTGGGCTAGTCTAATGAATAAATCAATTTGATTAGGATATTTAAAAGAAAACAATCTATTGAATTGAATACTTATTGATGCTTTTACAAATTTTAACACACACAACAATTTTGATAGTTGGAGGCACACGATGTTCTACAACTGTTAAATAAATTGAAGCATGAAGAAGAAGAAGAAAGAGCTCATAAATTAAAAATGCATCACCTCAAAGAAAAATATCGGATCGGTATTTTATTTTTTCAACACAAAATATTCAAAAACCACATACTCAAACGTGTAAAATTAAGTCTTTTTTATTATATCCTATTCATAGAAATCATCACTCAAATTCAACAAAAGATGGAGAATCGTAGAACATTTCAAATACAAAGTCACCAAGCAAACGAAGAGCAAAAGAAGATAGAAGATACTCGCCAAGAGAATATTCGAAAAGTAATTACAATTCCATTCCTTTGATTCTTTTTTTTCCATTTCTTCCATTCTGTTCCATTGCTTATTGATTAATTTCCATTTTTCCAATCTTTTCTTCTGTAGGTTATTACTAAAAAGGTTATGGAAATGCGAGAATCTAAGATTCCAGAGCATATTATACGTGATGTTGAGCGTCAATTGAAGTTATGTCATATTTAGCTTGCACAATGCACACATATACATTACGGTTTAAAAGTTATTGAAACAAATTTAAAAACACAAGGACAATGATAAAATACTATTTAAATTGTTTATTATTCACGAATACTATTAGTTTCAAGCAGATTCAAACATAAACTCCAAGACAGTTAGAACATAATGTGTTGTGACACAGATTGACAAAATAAAATCATATCAAACTTGAAAGTTGCTCGAATAAATAAAACATGACGCATATGAGCCATTATGTACTTAAAAATGAAAAGGTTTCACTTAGAGAAAACACACTTTTTTAATTTTTATCTCAAATTTTTTTTTATCACAACAACATTTTTTGACTTTTTTCAATTATACTATTCAAAAATAAAGAAAACGTGCAAAAATTTATAATCAAATTTTAATGTGACATAAATCAGATACTGCTAAAATGGACCGAAATGATCTGGAGCAACAAAAGGGCTAATTTAAATGTGTTCGAAACATTTAATGAGTTTAATCGTTCTAAAAATGATCTTTCGTTGTATATAAGTTTTTTTTTCTTGCTGGTCAAGCATAAATAGAAAAATAGTTAAAAAAAGTGTTTCTTATTATTTTCTATTTTTATTCCACTTTCTTTCATGCCTATTTTTATCTACTTTAATGTACATAATTGAGATACAATTATATACTTTCATTACATTATTTGTTCCGGTTTCATGTCCTTCTGGTGTGTATTTTTTGTGATATTTTGAACTCTATTAAATGCTATAAATGTACAATCAAGTCCCAATACTGGCTCCCAAAACACAAAATTTCCAATTGTGTCGGTGGCATCAACGGACGTCGGACGTGCGTAGATAACGTGTGTAAAGTTTCAGGAAATTTGTCGCTCATAGCTACATGTTGCCGCAAGAGCTTGGTGGATCAATATGTGCATTTCTTGAAACATGACAATTTTGGTTAATCATTTTTTAGCATTCACAAATTTTCTTTACAAAATGTTTGATTTTTCTTTGGAGCTAAAATACTTGGCCGATATGAAGGTAAGTTTTCAACTCGCAATATAAAATGAAGAGTCTGAATTGACTGTCAATTCTTCATAAAACTATCAGTTTTATATTACGAGTTGAAAATAGGCTATATAACAATGCGCAGAACGTCAGGCCAGAACGTTTTCAAGCAGCATGGATGTTGTTAAGATTGAATTCAGTCGTTTAAATATGTTTAGAACTTTATTATAGTGCGAAGAAATAATATTTCATATTCATATGGACCTCATCATGTTCATTGTTTCAAATTTGCTATGTAAATTTCAGTGTTCAAGCTATACGAAGCATTCAAATGGGTGTGTATCAGTGGAATTGCTTTTTTTCTGCTCAGAAAGTATTCTAGCTTCAAGTAAGATAAATTTGTGGAAATTTGTCGTGTCTTTGGTACAATACATTCAATTTCGGTCAAAAAATCCAAAATTTTGTAAAGAAACTTTCTATATGTTGTTTTTATCGAAATCGATTGAAACTTCTCTAGTCGTTAGTTTATGGTCAAGAATGATGACTACCGTTTTTTTTTCAAGAAATACACATAATGATCCACCAATCTCTTGCGGAAACATGTAGCTATGAGCTATCGGCATGAAACTTTACACACGTTATCTACACACCATATGAAATAATATCCGCGGGTTTTACCGACAAAATTCGAACTTTTGTCTTTTGGGGTCCAGTCTAGTAATTTCACTCCATCCCACTTCATATCATTTACATAAATTTCTTAATATTGAAACTTAAAAATTACGATCAGATGGAGAAGAAAACAAATCAGAGGCACTCTTTGCAACACAAGTCCTTTTTTATCTGTTTTCAATTGTTGATCTTTTGTTCTCTTACAGCGAAGCCTGATCATGCCCGTAACTAACAACACCTCTAATGCGTATTCCGAGTACTAATAGAAGTTTGTGACAATATGGCCGTCACAGTTTGGCAAAATCATAATGAATCGATTAAACTGCGTTAAACTGTTGAATTAAAACACTAGAAATAAATAGATTTTAATTTTTTACATTTTTGAAAATAACAAATCTTTTGTTTTTTTAATTTTGTGAGATTTTCTGTCCACAATATTCAAAAATATTAAATTAATAAAAATGAATTGGTTGACATAACCTCACTTTTGTGTCACAATCGTGATAAACCGATTAAATAATTATTATTATATAATAATTATTAATAATTATTTGATCGGTTTATCACGATTGTGACACAAAAGTGAGGTTATGTCAACCAATTCATTTTTATTAATTTAATATTTTTGAATATTGTGGACAGAAAATCTCACAAAATTAAAAAAACAAAAGATTTTTTATTTTCAAAATGTAAAAAATTAAAATCTATTTATTTCTACTGTTTTATTTTAACAGTTTAACGCAGTTTAATCGATTCATTATGATTTTTCCAAACTGTGACGGCCATATTGTCACAAACTTCTATTAGTATTCGGAATACGCATTAGAGGTGTTGTTAGTTACAAGGTTTATATAGGAAATCCTATACCATGATCGGGCTTCGTCTTACAGTTTGAAATATAATTTAGTTTCATTCAAACTAAAACTTGAAGTTTTTTTCTCTAATCCTTGTGTGAATGTTTTGGTGAGTTTGATGTTGACCGTAATTTTGATACAGACTTCTTTTGAGGCGTTCCATTAGCTGCTCCTTTTACGCTTTCTGAACTATCAGACAACTCGCTACTGCTCGAACGGCAATCACCTTCCATCTAGAATTTAAAGTAGTATTATTATTATACTTTTCTTTTCTATATATCTAGAAAAGATTGAACAACACTTTCTTTTCCTGATTTGAGTGAATTATGAGCGATTTTTAAAATCATATAAGTCCACGCGACGTGTAAGCATAGAAGCAATATTAGCAAACTGTTGAAGATATAGTATGCTGGGAACATTGGTAAAATGCGTGGAGCTTCAACAGTGCTCGAATAAATTATGCGCGGATAAAAACCTAGGGTGAATCAGAAAAGAAAAATGGAATTAATAGAAATTAATAAACATGTAATGGAACGTAATGGAAATAATGACAAGTAAAAGGATAAAAACCCAAACGAGTAACAATCCAGATGAATGTGAAAAGCGCAAAAATTGCATCGCAAAGTTTTTGGTAGTTTGCATATTTGGTTATTTTGGCAGCTTCTAAAAAGATATCAGCACAATCATGAATAACAAGCACCAGTGATCCAACTCGGTGCAAGTTACAAATCCAACTCAATGACAGTAGCAGCAACGTAACGATGTGATGAACAAACATTTGCCAGAAATCTTTGCGTTTAATATCGAAGAATTGTGACGCAACCAAAGCCCAATAGAATGACATCGAAAACATGTAATACGACCATATTTCACTGTCTACCGACTGAAGAAAAAGAGTGATGAAATATCGTTTTTTATTTTTGTTCAGTTAAATTATGTAAAACTTACTTGATGGGGATAGCCATGCCAGCAGTGTTTGACATCCCAGAACCATGACTTATCCCAGAGTACAAATAGACCAAAAGCAAAACTGTGGGTGTAGTAGAGGAAACGCCATGAATTCTCACAAAATTTGACTAGTGTCGATGGTTTGTCCTGTGCACGCCGATACCTCCACCATCGTTCGATTTGTCGCTCAGTCATATCCATTTGCTTTGCAAGTCCAATAACCTAAGATTACATTTAATAAAATAGAAAGAAGAAATTTAAATAAATAGATATTTGATAACAGCGGATGGTCCAATGAAAAACACGGTCAAAATTCAGTTTTACGACCATAGATGAAGCTGTCGTTGAATACCTTTCCAACGATACCCTAAACGTCAAAAAATTCAGCACCACCCACCCTGGGGAAAAATTTACAATTCTGCTCAGATAGAAATTTTCTATTTTTTACCCCCAACATACCCCCCAAAGGGTTTTTAGACATTTTCACTCCTTCATAGTGAGCCTGATATATGAGACACCCTGTATATTTGTACATTCGGAACGATGCATTGCGTCAGTAGTCCATATTGACAGTAAAAAGGGAATTTCTGCAACGTTTTGAATGTACATTTGTATTTTTATTCACAGTGCACAGAAAAATTATCAACCAACATTTTCGTTAATTGAAATCACAAATTTTGAACTCGGAAGAGGTTTTTTATTTGATTAAATATTCAAGACATACTACATTGTGAAATTTAATTGAATTGGTAAAGTATATTTCATCCATTCGATTTCACTTTCATTTAATTCGATTTACAATACGGAAAAGATATCAAGATTAATAGAGTATAATCAAAAAAAATTAAGGAAATATTCTAACCCCAAATTGTAGATCAAACTAAAATATAAATTAAATATGTAGTATGAAAACACAATAAATTTTCGATAAATAAGATATAATTATCAATTCCTTTCTTAATTTTTGACAAACAAAGAAATATTTATTCGACCAATCTTATGCCAATTTATCAAAAATACGAACATTCGTTGTAATGCACAATTTGAAGTTTTATTCAGATTTCTTGGATTTCGTTTTGGAAACTGATTGAATTGAAATGAGTTTTCGTTTAAAATCAACTGCACCTTCTATGGCATACACATACCATATTAAATGAATTCACCTACCTATTTATGTGACTTGCATACATGATATTTGGGAATATGACTGAACAAAGGCAAGCTATGTAGAATCATTTTTTATATTTTTGTCACATCAAACTTTTGGAATGCAATCACGTGATTTGAATATGAGACAAAAATTGAGCCAGGTAACACAAATGGTTGTATTTTACGTAAATTTTATTTTTATGATTCAATCCAAAAAAAAATGAAAAATATTTCTTTGCATTGAGAGTGTGTTTCAATGGTGGTCAAATGACCACCACCTTCTCAATGTGTTCAAATAACGCATAGATGTGGATTCTTTCTTTGAAATTGGGCCATTTACTGAATAAATACAATTCATATTTAAGTTTTTTTTTAATTCAACCAAAAAATAAAATAAAACAAATCGTAACTTTCGAAAGCCAAAATAAGTAAAAGTTTAAAGACAATTGTAAGAAATTGAAAATACAGATTCAAATATTACCGAGCCAATAGAAAAGAGATATTTTTTTTGATATTTTATGACGAAAATCATTTTCCTTATTTACACGCGAAAGTAGTGGATTTTATTATTGTTTAATACAACTTAGATTTAAAATAAGTCAAGTCGATATTCAACATTTTCAACTTACCGTTTTATGATGTATTCGACTGCATTTGCTATATGCGTCCTCCAAAATTGGATTTGGTGTGGCACGTTTACTTCGTGCACTTTTTATACCTAGTGATTTACCAAACGGACTAAGAATATACCTGAAAGAATTTTTTTAACTTTAATCAGTTTCAATTTTTGATTTCATTGATCATTGTTGTTGGATGTTGTGCTATTGGTCTTATAAAATGCGAAAACATGTAAACATGGTTCATGCGCAACTACAATATACAAGTCGTTTAGTTTTCTTCAAACATTAGTAGAACTTGTTTTTTTGTAAAACCTGTCAATAACGGAACTTGACTTTAGTGGAATTCTTGTCAATAGTGGAAAATTTAAAAAAAAATGGCATGTATTTGGAATCGATAGATTTTGGGTATATTCTATCCAGTTTTTAATTCTGTGGAGGAGCATTTCACTCATACAATGTTTCTAGCTAGCTATCTACATCAGATATATAATAGAGTGTATCAATAATGTGAAATATTTCGAAATCAACGTTGTACCTATGCATAACCTATGTTAAATGGTCCCGGAAATCACATCCAGATGTTTTATGAAAAAAAAAAAAAAAAAAAAAAAAACAAATCAAAACCAGCCCAAAAATTCCAAAAATTGGCGATTCTCAAGGTTTTTGTGTTTGAACAAAAACTTGACTATACTTTCAATATTACTTACTTTTATACTTGAATCATCAGAACAGAACCCCAAAAACGCATTTCAGAACAAAAATTTAATGTCAAGTCAAAAAATGGTACCGTCACTACATTGGAACGACATTTCATCGAAAAATTTCAAAAATTGTGATTTTCAAATTATTTATTTCTGTACAAAATTTTATGAAAATCAAAGGTTGCATGATCTGGGATGAACAATAATTGTCTGAAAATAGTGTGCTCAAAAGTTCTACGTCCTAACACAGCAGTAGTTCGTGTCACAAATTCATTTTCGGTACCCAATGGTAACGTCATGAGGTCAACCTCATCGGAATATACTAAAAATGCATATATTTACCCATTTTGCACAGCAGAATAATTTTAATGACATTTAATGGAGTTAAACACCATTTTGTAATGAATTTTCCAAATTTGTTTGTTTGTTTGCTTGTCATTACGTGTAAAAAATAGAAATGTTATCTAAAGCGGGTCGACCTTTATGTGTTTGTATATTTTGGAACTGCTTTGCAGCAGTATAAGCGTATTCAATCATACTAGCCGCTGAGTGATTGAAATATAATATTTATTTTTTACATAATTCGCCACGACATTAATTTTTATCTTTTTTGTTCACATTCACATTGTTTTTTTATATTTATAAATAAATAAATCTCGTACAAAATGTAATATATACTTTGCTTGACAGCAGATTTCGATAGGGACAACTAACGACATTTGTGATTTGACAGCTCGGCCACGGTTTGGACCCGGTGGTAATATTACCTTTTGGAATGATAATGAGATTTAAGTGACACAATTATAACATGCACGGCGAATATTGTAAGCGCTTTCAAGGTTTAGAGATGCACGATCCCCTTGCATTCATTTATATGTACTATGCGATTCGCTATACTGCACTATGTCGTATATTTCACCAAAGATTACATGTACATCTTACTTCAAAGTCACAAATTGAGTAAAATCCATGAAAAGCGCAGATGCGGTACAGTTTTGTTAAATATGTTAATGTACAGTATTTTTCTATAAAGTCTCTATTTGGTATCAACATGGGTACCAAACATGAGATTAAGGGGCTTAATTCAAAATTTCAACGACTGAATTCTATAATAATATCTAAATTAACTGAATTTTTCAGCAAACGAATGAATTCCAGTGAATTCTACGGCGATTTCATTCAAATATGTGAGATTGTGGTGAATAGTTTCTGGTAGCAATTACTGCAATATTTATATTTTGTGTAACGAAATTGTAAATGTTTTTTATATTTTCTTAATAAAAATTAATTTTATTTTCAATTTTGAGCGATTTTCTATCGAAAATAATCAGAAATATTGAAAAATAATAAATTAAAAAATATTGAGGTTATCATAACCTCACTTTATTACTTTGACACATTTCATTCTATTCACACGAATTCACCGAACTCATCAATAACCGCTCGATTCAAAAGTGTGAATTTACGTGAATTCCTGTAAATTTGTTTGCCGTATTAAGCCCCTGGCATGAGATTATGACATGTGATACTTCGTACACATTAATTTCAGACAATTATTGATCATCCTGGATCATGTAACCTTTAATTTTCATCATTTTTTGTTTAAAAATAAATAGTTTGAAAATCGGAACTTCTGAGAATTTTCAATGAATGAGAGAATTTTCAACGATGCTACACGGTGAAGGTACCAATTTTTGAGTTTGAATGAAGTTTTCTTTTGCAATGTGTTGTTTGAGTTCAGTTCTGATGATTTAAGCATAAAAATAATCGATATTGGGAGTATAGGCAAGCTTTTCCTCAAACACAAAAGATCAAAAATCGACCATTTTTGGAACTTTCGGGAACTTTTAGACACCATGCGCGAATCCAGTTTTCATTTTTTTTTTTTTGCAAAAAAACACCTAGGCAAGATTGGGACTGGGACCATTTGGCATAGGTTATTCAGAAGTGCATTTTAGTTTTAAAAAAGCGATACACTCTAATATACAAATAGCTGCTATTTATCGCATATCTTCGCTCGGATGCTGCATATACTCAACATAACAATGGTGTCATTGTTTTGAAATGATTTAAAACGTTAAAAATTTCAAACAATGAGACCATTACTATGTCCAGCATACACAGCGTCCAAGCGAAGATATGCGTTAAATAGCATCTATTGATATATCCCTTTAGCAATAGTTGATATAAATAGCTAGCTGGCAACATTGTATGATTTCACTTATATATTACCAGAGCAAAGGCTCAGTGATTGACATACATAAAGAGTAATTATGTATGCACATATTTTTTTATTCCAAACGCCCCTTGCTAATTTGTTCGGACATCAATTTGTAGTGAATAATAAGTTTATTACAATAGCAACAAAAAGCGTCTTTTCTACGCTAATTATAATATAAAACTTGAAATACAAGTAAAATTGGCAGCATTTAAAATAGAGTGGATCTCTTTTCGATGATTTTAAAAATATATACTGGCCCATTACAACCTCTTGAGGACATCCAGCACAGTCCAGAAATGCATAGAAATATGGTGTTAATATAAATAGTTTTCTCGCTACAGCGAATCGAATTTTGATGGGATTTGAGCAATTTGAAAATATAGTTTTCGGGTTTTTTTTGACACGAAAAACCCGAATCTGATATTAGATTACATCATTAAACAGGCATGGTCCCATGCAAAAATTTCAAAAAATTCAATATCAAAAAAACTCAAAACACAATTTTTAGTGAATTTTCAAATCGCAGATTGCAAAATTGATTTTGATTTGTAAAAACTTCGATAAACGAACCACTCTATTATAATATAGCTAATGTTGATTTCTTTCCAAACACATTTAAAAAAACTAGTTAGTTGATTTTGGACGCAAAGTAAAAATAAAATGTCTTACATCCATATGATGAACTTTTCCGCGCTGTGATACACAACATGCATTTATTACATATCTTTTACTTAAATTTGAATTCAGGAGAAAACTGAATCTGACATTAGTTTTTCGATACAAATCCATTGGCGTTATTAGGTTATCCCATTGGCGCAACTTTGTTCATCATGTTTGTGATAGATCTACCTTTCGTCGTGATTTGGATCTTGCATTCTTTCATTCGCTGATGATACCAAGATTTCAAAATGCATAAAATCAGAAGATGACTGTATTCATCTTCAAAGGGATTTGGATCGTGTGGCAAATTACTATGAACGCAATTTATTAAAGTTGAACGTTAACAAAACAAAAATAATATCATATCATCGTGGATCACTGAAATATGAATATAATTACAACGTAGATGGCGTGCAAATTGAAAGAGTAGACGTAATAAAGGACTTGGGAGTATTGCTTGATGTGAAGATGAATTTCAAATCACACATCGAGCATGTTGTTGCAAAGGCAAAATCAAGATTTGCTTGGGTAAAATTCAACAGCAGGGATTTTGTCGACCCATGGACACTAAAACGCCTTTACTTTGCATTTATTTTACCGATTATTGAGTATGGATCTGAAATATGGAATCCACACTACGACAATATGTGCAAAAGAATTGAGTCAATACAAAATTAATTCTTATTGTATGCTCTAAGGAGAATGGCCTGGAACGATTTAAGACTGCCAAAATACGAACACAGACTACTATTTCTGCAAATGATTACTCTTAAGGAGAGACGCAAGATGGCGCAAGTGTCTTTTATTTTCAAAATTATTCACGGAGATTTAAAGTCAACTTATGTTTCAAACAGTATGAATTATTATGATTCAGCACATGACACCAGAGCAACACCACTATTTGATTTACCAATTAGGAGAACTGATTACACAAAATATGAGCCAATAAATTATATGCTTACATTATTCAACGATTATTATGCCAAAAAATTGCAAAACAGTGATAAAAGTTTATTTGATTTAGAAGTAAATTTATCAACAGTTAAACAAAGAATAGAAAATTTATGGATTAGTAGTTGCAAAATTAATTTATGAATATTATATTATTTACATATAAGGAGAGAAGCAATAATTTTTCAGTTACACTCTCAAAAATGCTTGATAAAAATTAAATTATATCATATTATATTTATTTAATCAAAATATTTTCAATAAACCACCAAGGCGAAAGAACGCTGTTCGGTGCAGCTATTATTATTAAATAATTTATGACACGTAAAGACTTGAAACTTTGCGCAGGGTATTTTTTTCACAAAAAGCTAACATTCTGAAAGTTTGAGGAAATTTCAATACAATTTAGGGGTACCTTCCATACAAAATTTTTGATTTTCTGCTCAACATTTTCGTACTCCTAAAATGTATTGAAATTTCTTCAAATTTGGTGAGATTATGTGTTTTGGCAAGAAAATAGGATTCACAAGTTTTTATGATGATTAAATTAATTCAAAGAAACATTTATTGCGTTTTTTTGATTCGAAATCGATCATATTCTTTCCCAAAATTTCTAGTTGCAGTAATTTAATCACAGTGAAAACCTATAAATCTCATTTTCCTGCCAAAATAAAGGGTGTTTTTAGGAGGTTTGTTTTTACTTTTCCGCACACACCTAGTGTGTAAGGGGAAAGTATTTAAATTGATATATAGTGTGTAAGGTAAAGTATTGGAATCGGTCGAAAAGTTAACACCCATCATAAATGCGTTTTCTGGGTGTTTTTGGGGCCAGGGAACACGAATCTAGCGTTTTTTCGATGTCCGAATGTATGTGCGTACCCTGTACGCAAAAATTTGTTAACACGATAACTTTCAAACCAGAAAAGTAATTCAAAATCTGACTTCACAGGAGAAATAGAAACCGAGGAATAGAAACCATTAGATTTTGAGCGACTTTGGTTGATAGAGTGAAGTGTCATGTCTGGTGTGATGCCTATGGCCATCCATGGGGAAAATTCAATTTTTCTTCTAAAAGTGATATTTAATGTATACTTAAACACTCAAAAATGTGTATTGGGGGGTTTTTGGGTACGAAAAAACCGAATATGACGTTGGTTTTGCGATACAAATAACTTTCGACACACTTTTTATACAGAAATTTCAAAAAAATTGGATTTTTGTATGAAATCCATGCCTGTATGATATCGTAATGAGCTGAAACTTTGCACAGGTTATTTTTTTCACACAAAAATACCATTCCGAGAGTTTGAAGAAATTTCAACGAATATAAGGGGTACCTCGAATATAAGGGGAAGTAACAATGCAATCAAAATAAAATATAATGAATCAGTCATAAAAATAAATGAAACAAAGCAAACATATCGTGATTTCGTCAATGCTGACTATGCACAAATAAATGAGGCGCTTTTAGATGTTGACTGGGACAGTGTTTTCAATGTAATCACTTTGGAATTAAGACTGAATAATTTTTACATAATTATGAAGTCAATAATTGAAAAACATGTCCAGTTAAAGACGAAAATCGTGAGCAAATATCCAAAATGGTGCAACAAACAATTAATTAATTTGAAGAACAAAGTCAGTAAGGCTCATCGAATAAAAACAAAGCTCCACACAATTAAATCAACAGAAGAATTCAGAAAAATAAGAAGAGAATACAAATGTAGTGAACGATCGGCTCTTAAGGATTACAGAATAGAAATGGAGAACATCTTAAATGATGACCCAAAGAAATTCTTCCAACATGTAAACTTCCAAAAGAGGAAAAGTGATGATTTTCCACATGAGATGACTTATTTGGATGAAAAGGCAGAAGGCAAATCAACAATAGCAGGTTTTTTTGCAAAACACTTTGCGTCAGCATACAGCTCGTTAGAAGCAAATCTACAGTATGACAGCGCGTAAATCGAGATTATACGAGATGTATGTGCCGAAATAACAACGATTGAAATAACAGAAGAGCTTGTTAGACAACAAATAAGCATGCTTCCAGATGATCTTGTCAGTGGACCTGATGAAATACCAAACAAATTTATCAAGCATTGTTTGATTTCACTACAGGAGCCAATCACAACACTGTTAAAAGAATCACTTGAAACTGCCACTGTACCGCAGTTATGGAGAACGTCCTTTGTAAGACCAGTTTACAAAAACGGCGACAGAAACAACGTTCAAAATTACTATGGTGTGGCACTTCAGTGTATTGTGTCAAAAATTCTTGATTCAATCATCACAAACCATCTCAATTAATATCTACAAAATATAGTCCACCAAAGTCAGCATGGGTTCATCAAAAATAGATCAACGATAAAAAACTTATCGGAATTAACGTCTAAAACGATTATCAACATGGGGAAAGGACTTCAAACGGACACAATATATTTGGACATCGCGAAGGCTTTTGATTCAGTGAACACAAGATTACTAATTCAAAAGCTAAAAATCATGGGTTTGAATACACAGCTGTTAAAATGAATTGAATCTTATTTGTCTGGTCGCAGACAAATAGTCAAGATATCGGATACCAAGTCAAACCCAATCGAAGTAACTTCTGGTACTGGTCAAGGTTATTCCATTGGCGCAACTCTGTTCATAATGTTCGTAATTGACCTCCCTTTCGTTGTGACAAATTCATGCATACTTTCATTTGCTGATGATACAAAACTTTATAAATGTATCAAATCAGGAGATGACTGCATTCATCTTCAAGAGGATTTGGATCATGTAACAAATTACTATGGACGCAATTTTCTAAAACTAAACGTCAACAAAACAAAACTTATATCGTATCATCGGGGTACTTTGCAATTTGAACACAACTACAATATAGATGGAATTCGGATTGAGAGAGTCAATGTAATAAAGGACTTGTGAGTGTTGCTCGATGTGAAAGTGAATTTCAAGTTACACATTGAGTTTGTGGCAGCTAAGGCAAAATCAAGACTGGCTTGGTTAAAATTCAACAGCAGGGATTTTGTTGACCCATGGACGATAAAACGCCTTTATTTCACATTTATATTACCAATTATTGAAAATGGAGTATGGAATCCACACTATAACAATATGTACAAAAGATTAGAGTCAATACAAAAAAATTCTTATTATTTGCACTAAGGAGAATGTCCTGGAATAGTTATAGACTGCCAAAATACGAACACAGACTACTGTTTCTGCAAATGATTACTCTGGAGGAAAAACGCAAGATGGCGCAAGTGTCTTTCATTTTCAAAAATTTTCACGGAGAAATAAGGTCAACTTATGTATCGGGCAGCTTAAAATATTATGATTCAGCACATGATACAAGAACTACAAATTTTCACATGATTACGATATCATATATAGGCATTTTTAGTAGTTTTTGTATGAAAAGTGCTTCGAAAATTATTTGTATCGTAAAACTAATGTCAGATTCAGTTTTCTCGTGAATTCTTTCAGTGAAAGATTTGTAGTAAATGCATGTTGTGGATCAGAGTGCGGAAAAGTTCATCTTACGGATGTAAGACATTTTATTCTTGGTTGAAATTAATCGAGTTAACAACAAAACTTTTTTGTTGGGTGTTAATTTTTCGACTGATTCCAATACTTTATCTTACACACTAGGTGTGTGCGGAAAAGTAATAAAGTCGTCCAATATCAAAGTTGAATATAAGCGTCTTTTTTATAGGGCAAAATCACATCCCGGAATGAATGTCGTTCCAAAAATAATGAAATGGTATTCATTTTTTTTTAAATATCATTCAATTTTTTATAGCATTAGATCCTATAACGTTGAAAAAACTGAGTGAAACACATATCTATCTTTTTTTGGTGTTTGTCAACAAAAATCCAATATTATGCTAGTCAACCATGGTGAGAAACAATTTTAATATCTTAATTTGGCCAATCATAAAACAGTTAAAGTTATTTCATTGCTCGCGCTGCTGAGTATAATATGAAAATAGCTCGATTTATTGGCAAAAGTATATATTTCTATATTTCACCAATTTAACGTAACCCTTAATGCAACCACTCTAATAAAAAGATCAAGATCAAGATAAAATTATTAAATCTGTTAAACGTTCACAATGAAAAATGGAAAAATTATAGTTATAAATAATGAAAAATAATTCGAAAAGGCAAAATTATTGTACACAGCCTGAAAGCTGAAAAATTGTGTGTGTGCATCATACAAGGACGACATAAAGCCAAAATGAACTAGTACTTATTGTAGCCGGCTTAGTCATTGGTTGAATATGTGGGTTACCCTTCAATACATTTTTTTTTAATAAAAAAATGCTGTTATACCGATAAAAAATGTTGCATGCTCATTTGGTCACTAAAAATTGTGTAATTACGAATAAGTCGCGTGTGGACACGAGTTATTGTTATCGTTGTTTTTACCCGACAAAAGCAATTATTAATTTTTTACGAGTAGTAGAATGTAAAAAATCGTTAATAATATTAATCAATTCATCTAATTTTCCACCAGAGAATTCGTAAGGGCTATATTATATCAAAAGCACTTAACATATAGCAAATATACTCGCTTGAGAAACGAATATAAGTTTTCGAACATATTAATTTCATTTCCGTATATTCTTATGAACAGAATTTTGTTGAAAATTGAGGATGATTTTTGTCCCAGTTGACATTTTTCAAATCTAATGATCTACTTTGTACATTTTATCTTGTTCTTTCGATATTTTTCCGGAAAACCACATTGCGAAAATTATTTCATGTATCTCTACATCTAAGAACAATATTTTTTTTTTTTTTTTTTTTTTTGAAATTTGACATCAGCCGAAATTCGACTACCTTTCTGAATGTTTTTATATATTATGCACACATGGATCATTATCATTTTACAATTTGTGACTCATTGAACTTGCTAAATGATATAAAAAAATGGTAAAGATAAAAAAACAATAAGCGAATAATTTCAATATCAATAAATTAGGTGAAATTGAGGTTATGTTTTGGGATATAATGTGTATGACTTCAACTAGTGAAGGAAAAAAACAAATCCAATACTTACTTTTCAACACAAAATCTTATGATAAGTAGTACAATGGCCATTGGAATTGGCCACCATAAGTCTCTGTAATCAGCATGGTCAACATCAGGCCTTGATCCTGGTGCAATATCAGCCCATGTTGTGTTTGGTGGCAACCAAACTGATGTTGACCAAAAGGTATCAGAAATGTATCGGTAAATGCCCATGTTTTTTATACACTCGTTTGCTATTTGCCAGATTGACTTTTCTTGAAAACCATGTACCAGTTATAATCACGGCAAGACACACGATTCAAGCGATAATTATGCAAATGTTTCGGTTCTATGTTGTTTTTCTTATCTTCTTGGTTATAATAGTTTGATTCAGAATATCGTTCACATGCGATATTTGTGTGGTTTTTTTTATTTCAGCTTGATTACTGTTTTTTACAATTAATTAATCGTATGATGTAAGAAGCTACAAATTATCTCGTAATCATACGACCAGTAAAAAAGAATTAAGACATTCGCATAATGACCTGAAATCAAAATCACAATAATTTTAAAACCTTTAAACATTAGCACTCATCTCACAATTTTTTTTTCATATAAACACATTAAGAGCTTATTAATTCAAGCACTATGTTAAACTGTCTCAGCATACAAGAATTTTAGTTCTTGTGTTTTGTGTTGTTTTTATACGATAATGTGAATCACAGTCTACACACAAAATATTTATGATGGATGTTTTGACGATGTAAATAGAAAAAGTAATATTGTTTTTGTGTATATCAGATTTGTGATCACAGAATCCGAATAATATTTTATTTGTTCCTTTTTTATTATCTTAATATTTGATATTTTTAATTGACTTATTATTTTTCATTTCTCTTCTTCACTATATTTTCCAGAGTATTACGCTGTAATCGACATTCGTGAAAAATTCGATTATAATTTGAATTTTTTTTATCTATAATTAATATAATTTGATCAAACACAATAAATATGTCAAGTTCCCCACCATCACACACTGTTAGGACACAAAGGCGTCTATCTTGTGCGACTCAAATATTTTTTTCACACAAAAAATGGTTGAAACTCAATATGAGACAACAGAATGAAGTTAGAATGCGTCACAAAAAAATTGGCTCACTCTTTGATGGGTGTGAAAATGACAAATCAATTGTAGTTCTGAAAGTTCTCGTGGCAAAGTCAAAATAGTGGGAAATATTACTTAAAATCGTTCAACACCAAAATATATAACTTAGCCGCAAAAACTCATACACTGACTGACACTTTGGAGAATTCAATTCGGACTCGTCAGACTCTAGAAAGAAAAAAAAAATACACAATGAATTGACACTAAAAGACAGTTGAAATGAGCATGTGTTCGACCACTGCATATATACAACTATATCCAAGCGCCTTGTTTGTGAGTGTGCGTTATTTAGTCTGTGTTATTCTGTGTAAACGAACGAAAATCGTACGATATCGAAACCGGGCGTACATATACTGCTTCAATGTGTTTGTATATCGTGCAAATGTAACTATATTTTTCATTAATACGCTAGTTAATACGTTAAAGTCATGACGATATTTTATTTATCTCTCTTATGCTTTATTTATTTATGACTATTTTTCAATCAAAGCTATTGTTTTTGGTTTGAATTCAATTGATAAATATTAGAAATTAAATTATATTTGAACATACAGAAAAATTTCATAAACTGTCAAGATAGTTATTGCGCGGAATTTGAATCTCCCGCCCAAAAATGGTCTCAATTCTACACTGTTTTGAAATGTCAAAAAGCCGTAAGTTTGTGTTGATTATCATTACAAATACAAATTATCGACTTGATTGAAAAGTAAATTTATTTCTCGATTTGTCTAAATTACGTTATTATCTCATTTTTGAATTCGATTTCGCCCGAAATTCTCGAACGTTGAAATCGCTTTGGGCATTAATTAGTATATTTAAGCATTCTTTTCAGCATATAATACCTGGCTGAAAAACATTTAAACATTTTGAAAATGGTTAAGATGACGTCGCCGATGGCTGCTTTTACGTACTTTGCGAAAAGTCATCAGGGTGATATTTTTGATTATTTTTCATTATATGTATTTTAAAAAATATAACTTCTTATCATTGTGATTAATTTCCATATTCGTTTCTTAGGTGATACTTGTGGAACGAACGGTTTGCCCTTAACGCCCCATTCAATTGTCATTTTGGGCCGTTCACAATTCTTGAAATCTATACAACACGAAAACCTTTGTGAATATTTGGATATTATTCGATCAAAACACGGTGAGTTTGAAGCAATTGAATGGAATGAAATGGGATAACACAAAGTTCTATTGCGAAAGAAGTTATTTTTTATGCTTCAATTTTTAGAAAGAACAATTATTGTAATGGAATATGTTGGGAAACCACTATCAGAAAAATTAGCAGTTCAAAATATATGCTATGATGATGTGCTCAAATGTTTTTATCAAATTGCCTGTGGATTGAATCACATAGATAACCTTGATTTTACCATGCAAACACTTGAGCCGAAAAATGTTCTGATTGACGAATTAGGAAATGTGAAATTGTTCAATTATGGAATGTATTATCAAACGAATCAAGGAGAATATGTAACATTTCCAATTGGGTTTGTGTCGAGAGTGTTAATGTTTTCTTCAATTTCTGTATAAGGTATCACATTACTTTTTTATTATAGAAACATTAGGTATACTTCGCCCGAAAGAATTTTGGGGTCAAAGGACAACATACTTGGAGACATTTGGTAAGACATTTTGTCCGTATTTAATCGGTAATTTCTTGTTTTTTTCTTTGGAATTTGATTCATAACTTCATTATTTCTATTCATAGGAGCTTGGGTCTAATAATTGCAGAATTAGTTTTCAATACACCACTATGGTCGTCACTTAGCTTGGCCCAATTTACACGAAAAATTCTTAGTTTAGCGAACACAAAAAATGTTTTGGAAAAAATAGCGCGTGAATGCAATTTGATGGATAAATATCATGAGCTTAATCCAATATTCAGAAATCTATTGGAATCTTGTTTGGCTGTATCACCAGGGGAACGACCATATCCTAATCAAATTCTTCAACATGAATTGTTTTTGGAAAATATTCGAAACTATCGTTATCAAAGACCGGAGCCAAATGAATGTTTGTTATTACAATGTTCTCTTAAGCAGATCTATTATTTGTGGAAGTTGGCCGGTGGTGACGTTAACACAGAGCTCAAAGCAGTCGGACTTATTCGAAATGAAGCTCCAATTTTATCGATGCCAAAGTAAGATTTACCTAAGGGGAGAATCACAAAAGAAAAGAATAAAATTTAAAATAATCGATAAGTAATCGGAGAATAATCGAAAACATATAATGAAAAAATTGCAAAGCAATAGCCACAACAACATTAATGTCCAGCAATTGCTTTAAATTTCTTTTGCATGTGACACCATCAAAGTTAGTGAGCACATGAATGAACTTATGGAATAAGCAGTTGAAATTATATGTTATTTTCAATTATCATGATAATTTTTGCCACAAGTGACTTCTGACTGAAATATTTTTTATTAAAATAATTTTCAGATTAGTTTTATTGAATGGGCAAATCTTGGGTCAACCACGATCTCAATCACACATGTATGACAGCCGTTTGGTAATACTTCAAATATCTCTACAAAAATATAAATTTGATTTGACAACACATATTTTGTATAAAAAATAAGTACCTGCAAAAATATTTCTGACAATAATTGAGATTTTGTAATTGTTTTTCTTTTATAATTTCTCTTTTATTATATTCTCATATTTTTTTCTATTATTTTTTTTAAATTAATTAGATTTTTGAAACAACATGTAACTTTTCAACGATGAAATTATTGTAAACAATACAATCAAAAATCAAACATATTTTACACAAACAATTAGAAAAACCGAAATTTAACAATTATCACAAATGAACCTATCAAATAAGTACAAAACACTTCTTTCGAAGTTCCCAATGTGGCGCAATACTGCACATCTGAAATCTGAAAATGATCTGATATAAATTTTCAGTGACGCAGTGATGTATGGTCAAAACTAATTGCACCAATATTTTAATTCATTTTCTTCAATTGAATAAAGCCCTCAAAATATCATTTCAAGGTTTAGTTTCCAGGCCGATTATCTCAAAAAACCAAAACAATTTCTCAAAAAGATTGCCCTCATTGGAATCCTTGGGTCTGAATTATGTGATATCAGTTGTTATAGTGAACAAAAATTATAAAATCCAAGCATGTTGTAGTTGGTTATTAAAATATACGCCTTTTTCTATTTTGACCAAAAAATTGCTTCAAAATTGGGTGTTTTTTCGATCTATGATTTAAAAAAATCGTTATTCACACATTTTTTTAAACAAAATTACAATTTCCATCGATTTTTCCAAAGCATGGCAGTAGTGACAGTTAAGCAACGCAGCATTGAATAATGGCACAAATTTGTGCTCAATAATGTTACAAATTTGTGCCAGCAACCAATAGGGTTGCTATAGTTCATCTGGCAACCGATCCGAGCGCTTCGGTCGTTTCTTGTCACTGCCGTGCTTTGGATTTTTCCCCATTTTTAGTACCATGGTCATAAATGGATTGAACCAGCTTTTTGTTGGAAAACACCCGGTATACCTTAATCTAGAAATTCTCGAACGCCGCCTAGCGGTCAAATTTTGATTTTTTTTTAATTGTGGACTCTTAATTTGGTGCCTGAGCACTACTAAAATATGCAAAAACCCTTTTCCAATTTTCCTCGTGATATAAACCGTAAACTCCGAAATCGGTCACCTCTGTACAGCTGTGATAATTGTTAATTTTTTTGTTTTTTCTAATTCTATTGAAAATATCGAGAAGAGAGTATGTCATTTTTGAGCTGAAAATATTTCAAAAGGAGAGTATGTCTTTTGTCGATTGTGTTAATAGCGAAAGGGGAGTAAGTCGCATAACAGTTAAAAATTTATAAAGGAGAGTTTGTTTTTATTCACTCACATTGAAATAAAAATATAAAAATGGTTAAAATAATTAATATTTTCGGATCAAATAAAATTCGAATGTAATAGGCGTGCAGAAGCAGTCATACAGTGGGATGCAAAAATGTTAAATATATTAACTATTTTCGCACATACTCACTTTTATTTCAACCAGAATAAATTAATAACGTACTCTCCTTTATTTCCAACCAATTTAGCCACATACACTCCTTTCGTCAAATTTAAATGAACCAAAACCTACTCTCTTTTATGACAAACTAAATCGTTTGAAATACGTACTCTCCTTCAACCATTTTTACCATGAAAAAACATGCTTTTGTTTATCATACTATAATTCCAAAAAACATACTCTCCTATCGATATTTTCGATAGAATTATTTCAAGTGTAAAATATGTATGATTTTCGATTGTATTGTTTACAAAAATTTCATTTTTTACTAAATAATAATTAGGTAATACTGAACTTGAATAATTTGAAGGAGCGCTTGTCTCGTATAAAAAAACAAGACTACTACCCTCTAGTGTTGACAGATCAGTATGGCAAAAATCAGTATGGTGCAGAAATGGAAATGCTGCCAATTGTTATTCGAGAACGTGACACTGAATATCAATTTCATCGAGTTTTACTATTTACGAAACTCTTAAAAGGATTCCCGTATACAAGAGGTATGAAAAAGAATGTTATTGCTTTTGTTAGGGATAATTTATTTTTATTTAAAATATACAGATCGAATTATATTGGAATCTCAGCATGATATTCCGCCATTACTTAGAGGTCAAATTTGGGCCTGCCTTCTAAATGTAATGGAAGATAAAAGTTTTGAAGCAATAGATAAATTCACACCAAATCAAACGGACAGACAAATTGAAGTTGATATTCCCCGATGTCACCAATACGATGAGCTGCTTTCATCACCAGAAGGACATCAAAAATTAAAAAGAATTTTGAAAGCATGGGTATAATTACTCCTTTACTTAATGATCAATTTGTATTATTTTCATTTCTTATTCCCTCAGGTCAAAGCGCATCCACAATACGTTTATTGGCAAGGTTTGGACTCATTGACTGCGCCATTTTTGTATTTAAACTTCAATAACGAAGGTATGTGTACTGTAAATATTCACTTAATGCATTTGTATATTCAAAACATTTTACGCATGTCTATGCTGAACTCTATACTCCGAAGTACTCCACAAGTCCGAGACCCGGCCCAAAATTCTCCTCATTGAACCACTGATAATCCCTGAGCGAATCACGGTGGAAAAATACTGGATGAAATTTGACCGAGAATCGAACTCGTGTCCTCATGCTCACAAACCTGGCACGCTTACTAGTTTGTGGCTGACCAGTAAACATACCCAGTATTCCACTCCGGATTTTCAAATAACTTTTACTTTAATTGGTGTATTGGCGGCAATATCGAATATTTTTGGCAGATCGAAAATCGCATCCTGATGTCCATTAGGGTGGATGCATTTTTCTCGATTTTGCTCTCTCAAGTAGATGTATAAGCAAAAAAAAAAAACAGTCATTTTTTGATGGGATTATATGTGGGTGCACGGAGAATTGAGCGATAGTAAAGACAACTTTTTCAAAAAAAAATCGAAAAAAAATTAGGAACTTTCACTGGTAAACAAATTTGATTTTGCTCTACAGCCCAGTGTAGTTGTATAAGCATGAGCTGATTCCGAAACAGCCATTTTTTATGGGATTGTATATAGGGTATTTTTGTCATATAGGGTGGCGCTAGGGGGAGACACAAACGATACGATTAAACTATGATTCCAATCATTTCATTGTAATAACAACTTTGGTTTTTTGAAATAACAATTTTGGTTTATTTTTTTAATTTCTACGCTCAAATTGATTTCAATATTTCATCAATTAAGATCACTTTAGTCTTTATAAACCATCAAATAGCCAAATTATACAGATTTACTAATCCAGTTAACATCTTTTAAAAATCGTTCAAGACCAGCAAAATTAATAACTAGGGGAAGACACCAAAGAATAAATTCCGATTCCACTATATAAATTACTAATCCAGCTATTCCACTAATCCAAAAACACAAATGTGAAATCTAAACTATTTTTCCTATTCCATGCACTGTTTTCGTCAAAAATGTCCACTAATCCATTAATAAACGTCAAAAGAATTGTAAAATGGATTTGAATTGAAACAATTTATTGCTATTTCACGCACTGTTTCGCTTCGTTGCTATTTCATTGCAATTTCTCGAATCTTTACACTAAAAGTCTAATCCTATTCCACGTGTCTGCCCCCTAGATTAAAAACTTTCACTAGTCTGACTAGTCTAGTCAACAATTTTGAATTTTTAGTAACGACTACCATAGCTTGATAGGGCTTTGTCTACTTATTACTGAGCCATGCTCAGTTAGACCCCAGCACATCAAAATTAACAAAGACAGTATACTCAGGTCACATTACGGATGATATTTTCAACTCCTAAACTGCTCTGTAATGCTGAATTCCATAGCGATCTAGTGCCATAATAACCATTTGGATCGATCTCGTGGTATAAAAAATATGGTGGAGTATATTTGAAACTCTAACTCAAATAAAACCAATTTCTTCATTTTTCTTCACACACATCATCCGATATTTTTTGGAATAGTGGTTATTGCTAATTTTACCCTTCAATCGTAAAGAACAATTAATGTAGATAATAAATCAAACGTCATACAGTTCAACTCTATAATTACAATCAAGGCAGTTGTAGCCCTATGTTTGTTTCAGTACAAGTACAAAAATCCAAAAGGCCACATTGAAGAACTATCGGAAACACTCTTTTGGAATTCAAATCATCACAAAACGTTGCAAATTTTTAGGAATTTCTCCAAATTATGATCTAGTTGAGTCAGAACAAAATTTTCATTTTTGACTCAATAATGACAATTTTCCTTCAACAAGTGAATACCGGTTTTTAACCACAAGAACATTTTCGAAGATTTTGCCTGGATTAGTAAATCTGTATAATTTGGCTATTTGATGGTTTATAAAAACTAAAATGGTCCTAATTGATGAAATATTGAAAAATAAACCAAAATTGTTATTACCAAAATCAAATTTTTTCGATTTTTTGAAAAAGTTCTCTTCAGTTTCGTTCCAGTCGCCACCCTGTATAGTCCCATTAAAAAAGGCTGTTTTGGAATCAGCTGATGCTTATAAAATTACTCTGGGCTATAGAGCAAAATTGGGAAATATTCATCCACCTTGTTATACAATAGGGTGGTTCGATTTTTGTGAAAATTCAGAAGGGATACTGGCTATAGTTATAAGTTATGGAAAAATATGTAAGATTTACGAATATGACGTTTTTTTGACATAATTGATGTCACAGACCTAGCGCCTCCAGGGATCCATTTTTTGAAATTTGACCAAAAATTTCAATTTTTCAAAAATTTTCAACATATTTTAAAAACATTTTTTCTGGTTCGTAATGCTGCTAATTAAGTGAAATAGACCACCAAAGGCCATTAAAGAACTCACCTCTATCTGAAAATAGGTCCGAACGTGACTGAACATTTTTCAAAAAAATGACCCAACAAAACAAAATTTTAACTCATTATTGAGGTGGTCTGATTTTTCTGAAATTGTCCAACTCACTCTGTAACCTCTTGAGAATGTCGAATAGAGATTATCTGTGTGTTATGTTTGATCAATACTTTCGATTCTACATGCCCTCCTATTGAAGACTTTTACAACAAATGTCGAAAATAACCAATCTTTTGAAATTTGCCTATGCACCAAAAAGTAATTTTGTCTACAAATTTGGAATTTGCTAGGGTTTTTGATTGAAAAAGTGAAGACCTTTTTTTAGCTCATCAATGTAGAAAATTGAGGAGACTTTTTCTCGATTTGCTAGGGTTTTTTGCGGAGAAAAATCTTTCAATTTGCTAGGGATTTTCGCCTCAAAAAGTGACTTCAAAAAAAAACGAAAATTTGCCTGATTTGCTAGAGAATTTTTTGGTTTCGAAAAATCACCTCCCCCCCCTAAAAAATTTTCCTCGCACACTACTGCATCACAGTATACACAAAATCAATCACTCATTCATTTACCCCTTTTTTTGTTGTCAAGTCCCGAAATTTTTTTGAGTCGATTCTCAAATGAGTTTTCAGGTTCGTCTTGACATTTTTTTCATATTGTTCCCAAAGATATGTGAGTGAGCTTCCAAAAGCATTAATTGTCGGACATACGATGTTTGCTTCGTTCACCATACGATAAAATTCGGGTAGAATGCGCTGCCTACCACCGCCATAAAACAATCATGAATAACTTTTTTTCCACTTGCGGTGAAGAAATCAATACTATCAATACCCTAGGGGGTAGACACGTGGAATCAAAACCCACAGAAATCAAAAAATTCAACGGATTCAAAGAAGTTATAAGAAAACCATAGAATTATTGCCTAAAACGATAAAAAAAATTCACATATAGCTGGTGCTGCATTCTATGCAAACTTGTTTTCCGTTGCAACGGACTAATTGGAAAGTAAACGCTTATTACATAGAATGTAGCGCCAACTTTACGTGAATTTTATTTTTTTATCATTTTAGGCAGTAATCTCATCGCTTCTTTAATGTTTTCCTCCCAATTAATTCGCACAATCATCCATTGAATCAATCGTACTTTATTTTCAATAAAATAGTTTTCAAATTTTGTACTAGAAAAATAATAATTCAGTTTTTTTTATTTTATTTATTAATTTAAATACTTTATATATATGTATATATTCTTCACAAGGATACATCACTATGGTTTGCGGGCGTTGAGCCAAACGGCATATGCCATGGTGTAGGGGTGGACCAGACTAACTACGCATCATCAGCACTTTCCCCATGGGAGTAATTTTTTTCCGCAACAGCCTTCGGTAGTTTTTATACTAGGAGGCATTTAGACGAATTGTAAAACAACTTGCCGATTATTTCTTTGACCTAAAAATTCGTATTGGTTTTTTTTTGGCATGATAAAGTCTGGCCAAAAAACATTGCGATACAATCACGTTAAAATACACTTTCCTTACAAAAAATTACTTTTTTTTGACAAAAATCCATCATTATGTACTAATATTGCCACATCTATTCAAAGTTTATATGTTTTTTGTGGCTAGAAACATTTTTCGAGTAATACTATTGCAATCACATCATTAAACCAATCGATCATTTTTTCTTGATTTCTATGGAAATCTTGATATTTAAGCTATGACGAACGTTCAAGTGACTATAAATACGAGATGCGATTGCAATAGTATTACTTCAGAAAGGTTTCTAGCTACAAAAAACCTATAAACTTTGAATAGATGTTGAATTATTAGTATTGTGTGATGAATTTTTGTCAAAAAAAGTAAATATTTGTAGGGATAGTGTATTT